ACAATGTGTCTCTGGAGAACAAAAACAAGATCATCCACACTATTTTATTCCCAACTACTATGCATGGGTATGAAAGCTGGACAGTTTCAGGGGCTAGATGAGAGCTTTGCAGATATCCTGGACTGCCAGAAAGACAAACAAGTGTGTCTCAGGTCAAATGAAGCCAGAACTATCTCTGGAGGCCAAGTGTGTCTCATGTCAAATGAAGCCAGTACTATCTCTGGAGGCAAAAATGATGAAAGTGAGGCTGTCCTATTTGGGGCACATCATGAGAAGGCAGGATTCTCTGGAAAAGACAATAATGCTGGGAAAGGTGGAGGGCAGCAGGAAAAGAGGAAGACCAAATACAAGATGGACTGACTCCCTAAAGGACCCATAGGCTTGACTTTGCAAGAGCTGATCGGGGCAGATGAGGACAGGACATTCTAGACACCATTCATAAGGTTGCCAGGAGTTGGAGGTGACTTGACAGCAAGTAACAACAACAGCAAACAGGAAAGATGACTGTAGAGTCAACAAGGATCCAGCCCAGTGTCTCCATAGGCAGCCATATGCCTCTCGGAGACCCAAGACTTGACAGCAAGTAACAACGACAGCAAACAGGAAATATGACTCTAGAGTGAACAAGAATCCAGCCCAGTGTCTCCGTAGGCAGCCATATGCCTCTCGGAGACCCAAAAGCATGATGTGAAGGCAGTATCCCTTGGCCAGCAGTTGGCAGCCAGCCTTATTTCCTCTGAACCTGAAGGTTGCAAACAGTGAGGAGGAAGGAAAAAATAATAATGCAAAGGAGGGGCAGGACAAGGAAATGCTATATAAGCTTTAGCTACATGCAAACGGATCCCTCTGCTGAGCTCACAACCCACAGGTAGCTCAGCCAGCCTATTATCACTGTGGCCAGCAGCGAAGCCACAGAGGCACCGAGGTCCAAATTGCTACTTCCCCAGCAGTTGTCATGAAACTGGATGGCCTGCTCACCCTTGTGATTTATGATCTCCTGCTCAAAACAATGGAAGGACAAAAGAAGCTCATTTCCCAGGTAACTAGTATTCCTCTGCCTTTCTAACTGCAGATATTTATAGTGAATAAGCCTGATCAGTTTTATAGCATTAAAAAGACGGGAAGCAATACTCCAGAGGAGGGGACAATTCTGGGATCTGGGAAAGCATGTATTTCTAGGTCTGAGATACAATATGCTGCAAGCACAGTGAGAAGACAGAGGAAAAACACATGTCTGTTTTTCACATAAATCCTAACTGGGCTCAAAGTGACTTGAAAATGCCAATTTTTATACAGTAACTCTTAAACTGTAGTAAATATAATACATTGAGGTAAAGTCTGTATCTATATTACAGCATAAATCTATATCAAATAGATCCTACCTCATTAGTCTCATGTGATCAGTGTCTTGTCATTAATTTTATGGTTGCTAAGGTTACCAACTGGTATCCTTCTAATTGGTTCTTGAAAGAATTCTAAGATATGTTCCCTCCATAGATAAATGGACCAGTTTCTAATAACATTTTGCAAGGACCTGGATAAAGTTTTGTGAAATATAAGACAGATTTATTCTGATTTATTCTGCTAGAAGCATCTCTACTTAATTATTATAAAGCAAACAATTTAAGCACAAATTTATTCTAATTCTTGATATCTGTAGAGTTTCAGAGACATATCATAGTCTAGTGTAACTTGAAATCTGTGTTGGACAGTTAGAATACAGGAAGGAAGTGAATGCTGATTGATTTCAGAATCAAAGTAATTAATTTGCAACTTCTGCAGTACAGAATCTACTCTTGAGGGACCCCCCCCCCCAATTTCAGCATGACTTGCTCCTCAGCAATTTGGTACTAGATTTAGCTACACTAGCTTGAAAGTGCTGGCCAACATAAGTCTCAAAATTGCTGCAACCTTTTGTTGTCTTGATCATCACAACCAGCCAGTAGGGGCTTAACTCCGCTTAACAGATGGTAAACTGAGTCAGAAAGAGAATGATTTCCTTATGTGCTGGAACTGTCTCTGTTTTAGGAAGAGTCAAATCTTGCAATTTCACTTTCTCCCAAACAGGGATTTTGTGACCTTTGATCATTTCCATTGAGAAACTAACTGAAATGAAGTTCTTGACCATACCCACCCTATTAACATAATTAATTATTGATGTATTTTATAGGACAATCCCCATTTTTCTGGTGCCTAATTTCAGTAAAATCTCATTTCCACCTCTCCTCATTCTTCCCCCTGTCAAGCACCTTGCCTTTCATAGATATGTTGTTTCTCCTTCAGGATTTTGTCACCCTTCCCACTTCTTCAGCTTAAGCCCAAGGATTCTGCATAGCTAATTAAAATAACAGCAGCAATAGGTGGCATCTGGGGAGAGGGTAGGAGAACTGGCTTGGGGCTGTGGCATAGGAGTTGGGCCTTTAATTCTTTGCCTTTTCTTGCCATTGGAACAAGCTCACCCTCTCCCTCGTGTCACGGGAGGTCTTCCACCACTTAGCGATTTCACCGGCCATTGGTGGGGAGGAGAAATGGGTCTAGTCAGGACAATGGGAGAGCCAAATGCTTCAAGCCCTCCTTCCTCATGCCGTGATTCCAACTCAGCTTGGGAAACCCATACCTGTCATTTGTTTAAACAAATGAAGAACCCACACCAACTAACTTGTTTAACAATAAACAAAATAGCAGGCCAAATTATGTGACAAACATCATGTCTAACTTGGCCCACAAAGATGAGTTGTTAGATTTGCTTATCAAATTGGAGAATTTAGTCACCTCCCCAGGGTCTCTGAATTCTGAGAGCAGAGAACAGATGGATCTTTCCTCTAATAAACATGGATCTAACCGCTGGCACATAAATACTAACCCTCATCTGCATGCAGTCGACAGCCAAACAATTCACACAGTCTCAGCTGCTAAGATATATCTTGACTTGCCTGTTTGGAACCACTGGACCTGAAGGATGTTGTTTCAGTTGCACTTCTCCCTTTATTGGAAGGTCTTTTCCATGTGTTATTGTGGCCTGCGATGTGATGGGTGACTAGCACATGGAAAAGTATTTCTACTGGCTGTGCGAACTGTGCAAAATTCTCTCCAGGTATGCTTGCCTAGTGCCTGGTTTACTGTGATTTTGGCACCAGGTACCGACCTACTGAAAATATTTTTGCTGCCCTCCTACCGATTTTGCTACCTTCAATATCCTTTCTTTAAGAAATGCTGTTTTGATTTGTTGCCCTTGGGTTCAATTCAGTCCTACTTGGGCTTAGGACCCATTGAAACCAATGGGATTTCAGCTGATCACGACTCATTTAAGCCTCGTTGGTTTCAGTGGGTCTACTGAATAGAATCTCTGTGAAGCATGACCAGGTCTGGTGCCAACCCAATAGGACTGTGAAATTCCTTAGGGTTTTCTGGATCCCTTTCCTGAAGCAGATGCCTAGTTGCTCCTCCAAAAACTTTTCAAACAAGCCTGTTTTGACAAAGTGCTGCTGGGTTTGTCAAGAGAGGGCTTTCAAAACAGCGGAACAACAGCACTGTCCTCTAACAAGGTGCCCACAACCTTCAGGATGTTCAGTTAGACCAGTATCTACTGTATATGAAATGCATCAGTCACAGGAAAACAGAATATAGCAGCTTTTGATGTTGTTGTTATTCTCAGCTGTCCTAGGAACATGTAAATGCGCCTACCATGGTAGATGGAAACAGCACATGATTATTTTTCTCCATGCAAGAAAAGGATGATTGCTGGACTCCTGTTAAAAAGCGCGGCTAACCATGTTAGATGGAAACAGCTCCATGAAGCTTTCCTTTTTATTTTTCTCCATGAAAGAGAAGGATGATTGCTGGACTCCTGTTAAAAAGAGTAAGCAGACAGACATTTTTTAAAAAGTGGTGACTCTAAATTCTGTAGCTGAACTGGAATGTGAAAGGAATTCTGTCAGGTCTAAGCCTGGTTTAGAGCAACAAGACACCACAACAGGGTTTCTGAACTAACTCCGGAAACCTCCACAGGAGTCTATTCTCAGCTCTGCAAAATAAGTTGCATATTTTGGAGATTTGTTATTTGTGAAGCAGTGGCCCTTAGTTTTCAAGAACTATGAGGGCTTGTTAATGACAGGACATTTTGCAAGTCATTAAGTCATAGGATTGTCATATGTAAGAAGCAACCTGATAGCACAGAACAACAAATGACACACGGTAACAGCACAGTTACTGCAAGTACCGAGGCCAAATCTTCCTTCCTGACATTTTCCAGGCTATTTCCAGTGCTAACAGAATGCCCCTGTCTGTGCAAGTTAGACTACACTGCATAAGGCTGATGACATAATCAGCCGCAGCAATTGTTTGAAAATAACACATATCTGATTGCCCACTCCAAGCTCCCAAAATTCCTATGGAAACTCTTTTATCGTTAGGAAGCCATTGGGGGTGGGGGTGGGCAAGGAATGGAAATTCTAGCAGCAGAGATTTTTGCTAAAGACGTCCCACTAACATCATCAGCCTTACACAGAACAACTTAAGGCAACAGGATTTCAGCCAGCATAGGAATTTGCAAACTCACTTTGGCTCCATCCAACATTGGTTACCATGCTGTCCACCCCACCATCCACAATGAGAACGAGCTACTACTGCCCCAATTCCTCCTATTTCCAGTATCAGACTAAGGATGGAAGGCAAATTAAACTTGATTGTGGAGAAAGCTCCATAAATTTAAACACCACTGTCTCCACTCTCACAACTGTTTCAGCAAAACTAGAGAAGTTGCCTTTAAATGATCTGAAAGTAATGAATGTCTAATATCTATCTAACTTTGCCTGCATTTTATTCTGAAACAGATTCCCACCCCTCATCACACACATTTAGATGTGTCACAGGAAATAATCTAAAGCACATTCTTTCTCTTAACTAGGTTAAACATTGGACTGCATCTACTAGCTGAGAACTGTTGGTGTTTCTTTCTGTGGCTCTGAGCACACTGTCATTACCCTAAAACCTGAAACTTATCCACTAATTTTTGTTTTCCTTTTAAAGAATTAAATATGCCATTTGGGCATAGTGAATCTGAAGACATGGCCAATGTAACCTCTCTGCAAAACACTACAACTACTTTTGGAAACTGCACTGATGAAGGTGGCTCCTTTTGGAATATCTACCTGTCCCTAGTTTATATTCTACTTTTTCTGATGTGTTTCCCTGGGAACATCCTTGTGATTTCTGTATATATTTTCAAAATGAAGCCCTGGAAAAGCAGCACCATTATCATGTTAAACTTGGCCATCACAGACCTGCTGTATGTCTCTTGCCTTCCATTTTTGATCCACTACGCAGTCAACGGAGAAAATTGGGTCTTTGGAAGATTCATGTGCAAGTTCATCCGATTCAACTTCTACTTCAACACATACAGCAGCATCTTTTTCCTCACCTGCTTTAGCCTTTTCCGCTTTGTTGTAGTAGTCTATCCAATGAGCTGCCTTTCCATTCAGAAGCGGAAGTGGACCATTGTGGCCTGTGTTGGCATTTGGGTTCTTTCGCTTTTGTTGGTCAGCCCTCTAATCTACCTGATCACCATAAAACAAAGCTCAAATAGGGTGATTTGCATGGACCTTACCAATGCTGAACCCTTGGGCTTGGCAAGGTGGTTTAATTGGTTCCTAACCATATTTGCATTCTTTGTGCCTTTGATAGCTGTGACTCTTTGTTATGTTGTGATTATCTGCACACTGGCAAGAGGCCCTCACACCCAGACTGCTTACAAGCAGAAGGCTCGTACCCTAGCCATTGTCCTCTTGGCTGTCTTTTACATATGCTTCTTGCCATTTCACATATTTCGAGGGGTTCGTATTGAGCTAAAGCTACATCCTGTGAACTGCATTTTAATGAAGCAGGTCCGAGACATTTTTACTGTAGCTGGATCCTTAGCTTCACTAAATACCTTTGGCAATTTAATCCTATATGTTGTAGTTGCAGATAACTTCCAGCAGGCCATTCTTTCTATCTGTAAATTGATCTTAAAAACACAAAAGAAATAGAGAAGGATTAGAAGTCATGTTGCAGGTTATATTTGCTGTTACTCTTGGCATGTGTAATTTCAGCACAGTAGGACTTTTTCATATGTATTTGTCTTTAGGATCCGGATTTTTCTGGAAATAAAAAGTTAAATCCACTTTTTTGGTCTCTTGGTGTCCCCACTTGTTTCTCCATTGCTTTGGGTTCTTGATGGGCATTATACCAGCTCCCTCTTCCTCTTCTGAACACCTGCAGCAGAGTTGTTCAGCTATTAAGCCAAAGCTGGCCTGCCTATGGTTGGGCTGCAGCTCCTATTCTCCCACACCATGGACTGCGCCAGCGAAGGCTGATGGGACTTCCAGTCCATTGTCACCTGGAGAGCCACAGGTCACGCAGCCCAACATTAAACCTTAACAGAATCAAAGAGGTCCTGTTTTTGCCACCAAAACATGAACAAGCAAACAAAAACACAATGAAACATACAGATAGATTTTATCAGCATGAACTACAATATAGCCAAGTGAATTCTTTTTTCCACATTTTTCACAGTCGCTCCCATGCTTTCTGGATGTATGTTAATACCACCTGACAATATCAATGGATGTGACTGACCGTGACTAGAAACAGAAGTCAGGGATGCCCTGTAACTGAAAGTGTGATATTCTTAAAGAAGGTGAGCTTCTCAGTATCATAACAGAAGCTTCCCTCAACTCTGGGATTATCTAAATGCAGTTAATTTGTAATTTGGTGATTTATCTTTAGGACTTAAGCAGAATATTCGTATGAAATCTAATTTCACAAAAACGGAAGGATTGCCTCTGTCGCCTCTCTGTAATATTAACATGCCTTCAGCTTCAATGACTGACTGTCTCTAACATCCCTCTCTGGCCTGAAACACGAATGGGAAGTATTTGGGTTTGCAGCATAGCTCCTGCTGAGGCCAAAGAGTAAAAGATAAAGGGATAACATTAATCCTATTCAGCTGTTAAGGCAAAAAGTATACAGGGTTAAATGTGTGGTGCTGACACCACCTGGAAGTCAGGAAGACCTTTGTTTATTCACTGTGGAGGTCCACAAAAGCATTTGTGAGCACATTCAGTTGAGTGATTTTTATAATGTTGTCTTTGAAGGTACCAGAATGAGTTCACTTTTCAACAGTTTGCCCAGGGGCTTCTCCAATGAATTGATAAAACCTTCTGGACTGTCTGGTCTATGTTGAAATTCAGGGTCAAATCACACATCAAAGGAAAGGCATAGTTCCTGCCATTGCAACATTTCCCCAAAAGCACAGGGAAGGATTTCTATTTATTTATTTATTTTGCACAACTCTGCGCTGTTCACATAAAATACAGAATCAAATACTGTAGTTAGTAGGCTAAAACCATGAGCATTTGTATGGCTTAGTATCAAGTGCCTGGAGCATATACATGCAGCACACAATTTCACCTTAGCTGCTGTTGCACAAAAGCACAAGTTAAACAATGAAAACTGCCCTTCTAGATTAGGATTTGCCCTCTTAAATCTAAAGCAGGAGATGTCATTTTAGAGCACACGATGAGCATGTGCTAGAATCAGGGTTATATCTATGAAGATTCTCAGCCATCTAGGTGATCTGGAAGCTGAGTCATGGCAACTGGACTTCTTGTTAGGTTGAAATGTTTCCCTACTCATCCAAGTAGCTTCTCCAGTCTGAAGAAGTTACTTGGATGAGTAGCGAAACATTTCAGCCTAACAAGAAAGAAGTCTAGTTGCCATGACTCAACTTCCAGATATAATCATGGTTGTTGTTCTACTTGTGGGAACCTGGGACTATGCGTAGTTCATTCCCAAGCACAAATTGTGAGCAAGCTCATGTTTCAAACTTGCATCGCCCAGGACAGGACAGCTTCCCTGAGCCAGAATCCCAGACTTGGTGAAATTATATTGATACTCACTGTCAGCATCATCTCCCTAAATGGTAAGTTAGCCCCTGAAGATGAGAAGGTGATCCCCCTCCAGAAAAAAAAACCTCTCCTAACCGACTTCAGTTTGGAGTCAGAGACAAAGAAATACACCGAAAAATGTTTTTAGAACCAAGGTAGACAACCTTGTTGCCCCATGAGCTGCAGCAAAGAATGGTACAGGGTCAAGACTGGCTTGGTGGTGGTGGTGTAGGTGTAGCTTGAACCTCCTCCTCCCTCACACACAGAAAAGTACACAGACATGCCTCCCCCAATTACTTTGTGACTCTCATACATCTCCCATCCAACACACTCGTTCTTGCTCCCCAGCCGATTGGCCAACTGGTTGACTTCTAAGCAGAGCTTGGGAAGTGATTTGTAAGAAAAATGAATATGGCAGGCTGAAGCCAGCCATATCTGAGCAGCAGTAGGCTGATGATCTCTAAAGCATAACTTCTGATCATCTTACCTCTCCTCGGTTATGGATAGCTTCACCATGTTGTTAGATTCATTCTTCTCAAGTGTTGCTTTACAAGCTCTTTTTTCAGCACCAGTCCATTAAAGATGTGGCTGGAATATCGTTTAGGGAACAGGGAGAGGCTGTGAAGGCTGTACAAAAGCCAGCTAAGAAATTGCATCTAGTGCAAGAGTGGCTTGTAGAATTTATAAGCTAACAGCACTTTGAAGTTTTGTCTGTCCCCCTAACTGTATGACATGGGCGCTGGAATATTTACGTTGTGCCCCTCCCTCAGCATTTGGAGGGGAAAATATTTTGAAGACTACAATTCCCAGAATCTCTACCAGCATAGCCAGGCTAAGCTGTCTGGGGGAGGAGCAACTTTCTCTAGCTCTTCTGTGCCAATACTCAACTTGGTTTGCAAACAAGCTGTTCATAGAATGGGAGCAAAGTCTTCTGTGCCCTTCATGCAAAGAGAACCAGAACCAGTAAGTGCTACCTGGATCTTCCCCCTGTTCAAGGACATCAGTTGCACATAGCAATCTGGTTAGCCCTTAGATGACCATGTATAGAGTTAAGAAAATAGGTAGCCTCCCGGGAGTACATATACCCAACAGAAGATGTTTTGTTTGTTACATGTCATTCATAACTCAATGGTACAGAATGTACGAGTGATTTCATTTGGGTGAGGGAAACTTCACAAGTCTTGCAAGCTGTATGTTGACTGTCCTAATCAACCAGAACCACAAATAAATGTGTCAGAGGGTTTTCAGAACACAGTATTTGCAAAGGACTCCTGTCAGCAACTAACGCAAAAGAATGAATTCCATGCAAATATCTGGCTAGTGTACCACACAAATTCACTGGCACAGACAAATATAATTAGGAAGTGATCTCGGTAGTGCAAAACCACCATGCTAAGCTTTAATCTGTCCCTATAGACCAGCTGGTGACATATTTACATAAACAAAACCCAAGGAACATGACTTAAAAAACAACACAAGTGAAGCAAGTAGCGTAAGTTTATGTCCACGGATATGTGGAACCTGGCCACAAATATTTACATTACTGGGAATTTTCCACAAGCACAAGCCTATCTCTGCAATCACTCTCAGATCACAAACAATTTCCAATTAATGGAAAGTTTCTTGGGGGCAAGAAGTGTTAGGAGCTAGAAAAAAGCAACAACATCTGGTACGGTTGTGGGCCTGGAAGCCATGTCAGTTTATATTGGAGCTTGGAGAATTACTTTCAAATTTAGTCAGTTACTGGGCTAAGCTGCCTCCCCATAGTCGCTATTATGATTACATTTGCCTTGAAAACTACTTTCCTGTTTCTCAAAAGTAATTGAAGCAATTGCCTTTTTAATTACTTCTAGAAAAAACACTGGCCTGCACTCTCCATCTGCCCACTGCATGGTCATCCAAGCATTCACAAGACAGCACACGACAGCAGTCTAGGACACAGAATATTTTGTACTTTGTTATATTCCTCCTCTTTCATTTTAGTGAGGCTGCAGCTCTTGAATTATGAAAATAACAAAAAAAATAATTTATAGAACAAAAGAGTAGGCTAGTCATCATTCTGCCACAACTATAATGTAATTCTGTACTTTTACAAAATTAGGAATCCTACTCTGTATCTTAGTTGTGGCCTCTCAAAATAGCTGGAGTCTCCAAAGTAAACACAGCTAATAACAATCATTACAGACAATCAAGTTGATTCGGACTTAGGGCAACTATTTTCAATGCCTCCTAGGTGTCCAGTACTCAGGTTTACCAACCTTTCTTCTGGGAGTGCTCTGGGACTTCGCAACTTAACTAAGACTGTACAAGCAACTCTTCTCCTAGGAGACACAGTAGGGAATCAAACTCCCCAACCCCTGTTCTGCAGTCATGTATTCAACATGCAGTGCTAATTACATGCTGTCAGATTGATTCTGACAAATAGTGGGCCTGGCTAGGTTTTTCTAGGTAGAGAGTATTATACCTCCAGCATCCACCCCACAGAGATCTTGATAACCAGCAGGGCACCCAGCCCCCAGCCCATCCAATGAAGGCAGAGCATCAGAAGGAGCCCTTAGAGGTGGCAGCAAGAGAGGCTGGGGATGCCCAGACAGTGGTGAGCAGCAGGCACTATAAACTCTCCTTAAGGGGTGTGTACAAGCTTGGGGCTGTGTTGAAGACCTGATGCCACCAACAGACTGTGGACAGCCCAAATCTAGTGCCGAAACTTGTGTTCAGTCAGTGACTAGACTTGGCAAAGGGTTAGTAAAGCCAACTCAGCCCACCAGCAAACTTACAGGATAAGTTGTGGCCAGCATCTATCCTTTTCTTGTACCCAGTTCCCCAGCACTAGGAAAAAGTTCTAGTAGCTCCAAGAGTCTGGACTTTATGCAAACTATGATGGAGGAGGATCTTACCACCACCACCACACTGGGTGGGGGAGACAGCACTCAAACAGTGTGCAGCTGGCAGAGCCTTCCCTTCCAGAAGCATTGCACTGGAACAGCACCAAACCCACCCACTTCATGGACGCCAACCCCCGGGACAAGGGCTGAAGTCCAGAAAAGGTTTCTGCACACATCTCAACCTTTGATCGCTGCGGGTCACAATTAGTCTGATTT